ATGGAGCAGTCCCTGTCTGAGGCAGGCCCAGCCTACGTGCACCATGGGCGCAGGGGTGCTTCAGTCTGACCAGAACAGCCCCCATCTTCGCCTGCCCCCATTTAATTGATTAACTGGTTGCATACTATGTTTAATCGGTTAACTAATTAAACAAGATTTTACATCCTTTGTCAGAAGGCACCATCATGATCATCTAGTCCAGGGATAGGTAAAAAGTGGCCCGCAGATCAGACATGGTTCACCAAGGTTAGCCCCGGGGGACTGCCAGATGCTAGGAGCCTGCAGGTATCGCTGCTCACAACTCTCATTGGCCGCGGTTCACTGTGCCCGACCAACAGGGGGAAGTGGTGTCTCATCTCACGCTGCTTCCCACATCTCCCTTTGGCTGGGAACGATGAATTGCAGCCAACCGCTTCTTGCCTACACTGATCTAGTCAGACCTCCTGCACTCAGTGTTAGGAATACAAGCTCAGCAGCTTCAAAAGTAGAAAAGCAAAACCATTTATGCCCACATCTGACTGGCTTCCTAACACAATGGTAATAAGCCCTGGAATTGTAAAATTGTTCAGTACTCTAACAGTCATGCCGAAGTCTGGGAAGTGGGAAAACATAGTCGAATCCAACAGAAAGTGGCTGGCAACTTGCTAAGTGAACAGTCCATTCCAAAGTCAAACTGCCCAGGTGTTAGTCAGACAAGGAATGTTAGTCAGTGTTAGTCAGTGAGGAAGAAGAGACGGTATCTAAATAAAACCAAGGAAGACACCAGATCTCTGCTTCTGGAGGCTATCCAGAATGCTGCTGATAGGAGTTAGTAGCCAGATCACATGTCCACCCACTAAAACCTCAGTGGCAGAACAGCCCACTTCAAAAGCAACTCTTTTGAAAAAAAAGAAGCGTGGGATGATCAGAAAGTCAGTGAGGTGCAGCAACAGCAGTTATTGGCAGATATCTGTAGCAAGATTATAATCCACAGGGATCTTTGGTTGCTCTTTTATTTTCATTTGATTTAGGGCCGGGATTTCAAACTGGAGCAGCTGCAGCAAAGGGCTACTGGGATGATTAAGGAATGGGAAACCTACCTTAGGAGAAGAGACACATCACAGAGCTTGGCTGGGGGGTGATATGATTGTAAACACATCAGAGGGATACACACCGGAGTCGGAGAGAAGTTGTTTATGTGACATGCCAATATGGACACAAAAGCAAATGGTCATTAATGAGTTTGGGTTAGAAATTAGACAAAGGTTTCTAACGATCAGAAAGGTGAAGTTCTGGAACAGTCTTCCATAGGGAGCTGTAAGGAGCACACAAAAATCTAACTGTCTTCAAGACTGAAGGGGATGGCGTGAGGGCACTGCCTACAAT